GTGATACCATTTATTTAAAGCTAAAAAAACGCGAGTCATTGATTTATATTGTTTCTGGAGTGAAAGTGTCAGAACCAGTATTTCGGTGACAGCACTAGCCTGAGGAATGGTTAACCTGGGGAGGGAGGTGGGAGAATGGGGCAGGAAGGCCAGCAGGGAGCCTCAACTGTCTCTGTGACATTTCATTGCTTAAAAAGTGTTATGCTCAAATATGTCAAAATGTTTAGATCTGTTAAAGCGAGAGGTATGAGTATATATACATACATACATATACTGTATAATAGTTTTTTTTATGTATGTTTGAAACAGTTTGTAATTTTTAAAAAGTGTTTTTAAGTGTCAGGGATTTGGAGACAGGCTCAGGGTCAAGTCTTTGCCAATTACTAGCTGTGTTTGGACAAGTTACTTCCTTTCTCATCAGTAACTGGCCCTCTTGGGATGTCATGTCCCAGTCACCTGTACTGAACACTCCATTAAATGAACCTTGAGAAACAGCTTGCCAATTTTTTCTTTTCTAAAAACAAAAGCTTTATGGGTTGCTTTATTCTGGAATTTAAGTGTCTGGGGTTAAAATTCCATTTGCTCTCCGCCAACACACTTGTACAAAGTTTAAAGTTTTGGTTTACACCTGGATATAATCTGTAGGTTTGGAATTCCTTTGGAATTTTACAAGGGACGATTTAATTTACAGTCTATGTAGACGGTCCCTTAGACACTCACGGGGTATGTGACTGATTACTCTTTGTTCTTTGAAAGAGTTCAGGTCTGCTCTCTGGAGAATGTTGAAAGGTACTTTTAGAAGCAGTATTTATTTGTTTTATAGTTCTGAGACAGACTGAAAAGCAGAATCCAGAATTTGTGGCAAATTTGGGTCCAGTGAGGTTAATGTATTTACCTCCTTAAAACCTCCTTTGTGAACACTATTCATGGTTCCTCTATGGTAGCCACCGAGGCCTGAGGCCCGTGTGACTGCCCAAGGAGCCGCTGACACGCTGGGAGGAAGCTGCACCCCTGGAAGCTCCAGCTGTAGGGAGCCCACAGACCTAGGGCCGGCAGGAGACGCCAGACAGGGCACCGGGAAGGATCTGAGTCAGAGAGTGGAAGAGGCCAAGTATAAAAATTAGGAGTTCTGAGTTGGTGATGAGCCCTGAAGTGTCCAGCTGTGACCTCCTTCGCTATCCCCAAATCTATTTTTCTTTTTCTATCCGCCCTCCTCTCAGTCCAGATGCTGGGAGTTAGCTTGGCCTTTCCAGGATCATCACGTTGACCAGGCACCGTCCTGTGCACTCTACCTGCTCCATGTGGCTCAGGCTAGAACCACAGCCTCAAAGGGGCCTTTGTTAGAAACTAGTTAAAAGGCCCCCCTGAGTAGAAGCAGCTCCCAGGTACAGCACTTGCCTAACAAACACCGTTGGTGAGAAGAGTTGTCTTTTCTTCTTGGCTCATCTGGGGCACAGGTGGCATTTGTCCACCAAGCCCCTCCTGCTACAGCTAAGTGAAGATTGCCCTGGGATGGGCTGGGGCCCTGCTCAAATCTGTCACCTCCTCTCCACTGCCCCCACTGCCACTGCCTGGTGTGGACTGCCCTAACAGAGGCCTGGGTCTTGCTCTCTCTCATCTCCCTCCCTCCCTAGTGTTCTCCCAGCTCCTTCCAGAATGGTCTGCAAAGTTCTGGGCATTGCCCAGTATCTTCAGGACAAATTCAGATTCTTCATGTGGCACCTAACCCTCTTGTCCCTGCTGATTTCCACCTCCTCCTCTGCTTTTGCCACCTGAAACCCTCCTTCACCTGGAGCTTCCCTGGCCTCTGCCGGAAAAGCCCTGGCTGCCTTTTCCTCCTGGCCTTTCAAGACTTGGCTCAAGCAATGCCTGACCTAGGCAGTCTTCCCAGCCTGGGGGGCCCTTCCCTGGGCTTCCCGTGCCTGATTGCAGTCCACGCTGGCTACCCACTGGCCCTGGGGGTACTGGTGTCTACAGCTTACCATAATTTCATTGGCAAATGAAAATCTTTTACTTTATTTTATTATTTTATTAAAACAATTTTTATTATTATTATTTTTTGAGACAGAGTCTTGCTTTGTTGCCCAGGCTAGAGTGAGTGCCGTGGCATCAGCCTAGCTCATAGCAACCTCAAACTCCTGGGCTCAAGCAATCCTGCTGCCCCAGCCTCCCAAGTAGCTGGGACTACAGGCATGCGCCACCATGCCCGGCTAATTTTTTCTATATATATCTTAGTTGGCCAATTAATTTCTATTTATAGTAGAGACAGGGTCTCGCTCTTGCTCAGGCTGGTTTCGAACTCCTGACCTGGAGCAATCCACCTGCCTCGGCCTCCCAGAGTACTAGGATTACAGGCATGAGCCACCGAGCCCGGCCTTTATTTTAAAATTAAATGATAAAAACAAACTTTAAGGGTCAAGGAAAATGTGTTAATTTTTCTTAACTGAAAAATTAGTTTGTAGGGCCCATGAAAAACTATTTAAACTTCTTCTTTTTTTTTTAATAGAGTAAGACACTCAGGAAGGCAAAAGTACCTAGGGCCCAAGAAAGTTAGAATGTGGCCCTGAGCGCCCCAACTTTTCCCTCCCCTCGGGGCGGGGTGGAGGGTGGACTGCCCTACTGTGCTTTCTCATATTTAAGCCCTTGCAGCCCTAGCAAGTGCTAGGGACCCTGCGGTGCTCAGTCTGTGCTTTCTGAACAAGGGGATAAATGAATAAGCAAATGAATGGCCTTGGGCCAGGGTCTTAACTCTGAGTCCCCATTTCTTCTGGACAGCAACGTTCCAGCTCCACAGGGCTGCTGAGGGTCAAGTGGTGAGTGGGCCAATGCTCAGGAGCTGCAGAGGCTGGAGCTCCCTCCCGAGGCTGAGCAGGACGTGGGTGAGGAGGGGACTGGCCAGATGTTGCTAAAAATGGCTCCAGGTGGCTTTGATCATTTTCTTTCTGTAAGAAACAAAATTTATTCACATACAGTGCTGGAAGGACAGACCCCCAAAGTGTCTCACAGTGGCCAGCCGTGAGCAGGGGTTCCCTGTGTAATTAGCAGCAAAACTAGAATGAAGTACAAGGCCTTTGGTCCCCAGAGGAGCAGTCTTCTTTCATTTTGGCATTTTTTGTTTTTTGGTTTTGTTTTGTTTAAACCGTAGCAGTATGTGAAGGCCAGGTCTGTGTCTTATGTTCCCCTTTGTGCTCCTGGGCCCGGCACAAGGGAAGGGCACAATGAATGAAGGGATGCCCACTTCATGGCCCCCTGTGGCACTCCAGCAGCAGCAGGGCCCGCTCCCAAGCTCCCAAGCGGGTGCGGGGAAGCGCAGCTGCCCAAGAGCAGGCCCGCAGCCAGAGAGCAGAGCTGCGGGGCAGTTCTCCCACGGGGATGTCTCCCGCAGGGCATCGTGCGGGCTGAGGAAGACACGACGCGGGACAGCTCCGTGACAGAGCCCTCGAGGCACTTAAGAAATCTTAGTTCTTGGCCCCTCCTCGCGAACATTTCGGGGGACTGGTTTCCTGTGTTCCCAGTAATGTTTCGCATGGCTCCCGAAGGGCTGGAACGGCTTCCTTCTCACGAGCGGTGGGTGCCTGTCAAGTCGCGCACAGTATCGCCTCGTCCGTCCCGTTCTCCGCTGTGTGCCCGGCCTCTAAAAGCATGCGGCACACAGTGGGTGGCGGCGGGGCGAGCGGATGCGTCTGTCAGCGGAGACGGCTGGGTGCCTCCCCAGCGACGAGAACAAAACCCACTGCTAGATAATAGGGCCCTGGGCGGCCTCCCGCACCCTGTAATTTGGATCTCCAGGAATCGCCTTTGTTGTGGGCGACCAACCACAGGCAACGCGAGCACCTGCTCCTCCAGCCCGTCCTCGCAGAAGGACCCAGGCCGCGGCGCCCCGGCTCCTCTCCGGGTCCCTTCTCTCTGCTTCCCGGAGCTAGGGGTCCAGAGGCGCCCCGGGCTCGCAGCCAGGGTCCGCCCGGCGCTTCCCGGCCGTGGCATCGCGCGTCCCCAGGTGCCCGATACCCCGCCCGGGGCCAGCATTCTTCGCCTCCCCGGGCCGGGCGCGGGGTCTGGGCTGCGTCCAGGGCCTCGTCAGGCCCCCCAGGCCTGCGGGGACAGGAGCCTGAGTCACGGCCGCGCGCGCCCTCAGCTCCCGGCTTCCATCCTGGGGCCAACTCCGCCCCGCAGGGTCGGGCCGTGGCGCAGCCGGCTCTCCGCCGGTCTACCGCGCCCCTCTCCTCTCCCGGCCCGCGTCGCTGCGGCCGCCGCCCCCAGCCCTGGCCGGCTCCGAGCAGCCTCGCCCGCCCGCCCCTCCCAAGAGAAGCCCGGGCTCCCAGCGGTCCCGGGCGGCTCCGCGGGAGGGGGCGCGGCCGCCCCCGCGGCTCCACCCTCTCGGCGGGCCGCGGCCATCTGGGGCCCCCGCCAGTCGCGTCCGCTCTGGGGCCCGCGCAGAGCTCGCTGGCCGCTCGCGCGGGAGCAGGCGGCCCTGGGCAGGACCCGGCCTCCCACCGGCGCTCCCTGCCAGCGCGGGTGCGGGGAGCCCGGCGCTGCGATGCCCCGAGGGGGCGGTGGCCGCGAGCGGAGCCCGAGTGGAAGCGCGTCGCGGCGGACGCGGGCGCCCCTCGCCACCGCGGTGACCCTTCGGGAGCGGGGACCGGAGCCCCGGGGGCGGCGGCGCAGGCCCGCGAGGGCGGCGAGGTCCGCGCTCCGAGCGTCCGGAGCGGGCGCCGGCTGCTGAGCCTCGGCTGGGCTCGTCGCCTCCCGCCTCTCCCCCCAGCCCCCCGCGAGCTGGCAGGAGGAAATAGCGCGCGGCCCCTTTAAATTTACCCAGGAGCCCTTAAAGGAGCCCCAGGGGCCCCAGACAGGAATCCCCACCCCGGTCCAGCCCGCGCCGCCGAGCGAGCAGCCTGCCGTCCGTGCGGCCGGCCGCCCGGTGCATGCGCCCCGCGCCCCGGGGCCCCGCGCACCGAGCGCCCCGCGCCCCGCCGCCCCGGGGCCCCGCTCCGCAGCAGCGCATGGAGCCCGGCGGGGACCACCGGAGCCGGAGCGGCGGCGGCAGGGGCGGCCCCGGGCCAGCAGTGGCCTCGGCACGGGGCCGACGGCTGCCGCCCGCCGGGTCTAGCGGCGGCGCGGAGCCCGACGAGGACGAAGGCGGTAAGCGCTGGGGCCGGCGGCCCGGCGGGGGCCCGGCGTGGGGGAGGGGAGGGCTGCGGCTCGGGGCCCCTCTCCGCCGCCGAACAAAGGGGGGGACGCGGGCAGGGCGGCCGGGGGCGCCACCTGGCGGGCGCGGGGCGCCGCTGCAGGGCCAGCAGGGGAGCTCCCCGCCCAGCTCGCGGGGTCGGCCGGGGGCCCGGGCGGCTCGCCTACGGCTCAGCGCCGAGCGGCAGCCGGCGGCGCCCCGCCTTGGGGGCCCCGAGGGGCGAGGCGCCGCGGGGCTCGGGGCCGGCGGACCTGCAGCCCCCGCCCCTTGCTCTTTCAGACTCCCAGGTGGTCTCCCTTCTCCCGCTGTCTCTGCAAAGTCGGCCCAGAGCCTGGGTCCCCTTCGGGTGCTTTTCCCCAGGGGGCTCCGCTCCGCTGGGCTCGGAACTCCGGTGTTCGAACGGGCTGCCGCGCTCGGCTCGGCCTTGCTGGAGACAGGCACCCCTTTCCTTCCCCGCGTTCTCCTGGGAAAGCGCACAGCTCGCGCCTCGGGCCCATCCCCGCCTTTCCCCGCCGCGCGCAGTGTTTAGAGGGCTGGGTTCGCTCACAAAGGCAGACTGCCCCTCCTGCCCGGGCGTTATCTCTTCCCTTCTTTTCTGGAAAAAGAAATTTTTTTCTTTTTTTTTTTTTTTGCCCTAATTTGTCAGCTGTAGCGGAACCATCCTCGTTAGCTCTGGAAGGAGTCTGTTTCCCTGCTGCAGGGTCAACGCCTTCAGACCCGGGAAGGTTCCCGTCCAGGTTCGGGAGACTCTGCCCTAATCTCTGGGCTCCCCTCCCCTGCCCTCCCCTCGCAGAAACTCCCCAGCCCCTTTTGTTTTTAAAGAACCTCAGCTCCTCCCCCTTTTTTCGGCTCTTAAAGGGCCAAGCCACCTTAGACTAGCCTGGCTGGGGCGCTGGAAGGATGCTTAGAGACCAGCTAGCTATCCAGCGCCTTTGCAGACAAAGAAGCTCAGGCCCACCGGGCGGACATGACCTATCAAAGGTCACAGAGCAAGTTAACAGTGAAGCAAGGACTCGAACCCATATCTGTGCTTCTGAAGCCAGTAGATTCTACGGATCTACTTAAAAAACTAAAAACTAAAACAAACAATCCTCCCCCCAACAGTGACAAGAGCCCTTTCTGATCCTGTCTTTTGTTTCTCTAACCCCGGGATTCTCCACTGGGGGAAAGACCAGGACCCACCCGTACAGCCTCTGTGCCCATGAGGAGATCATTTTCTAAATAAAAAAGGGTCAGAACTGCAGGGAGGGCAGGGGACTGCTCCGGGTGTCTGTTTGGCAAAGGGAACGCCACTGGCTTAGTGGGGCCTCTCCAGTGCCTCCCTTCTGATTGCTGGGCAGTGGCCGGCACCCTGCCAGAGCAAAAAATAAATCCCCAGAAAGACTTAATGGGCTCCAGTGGGTGGTGGCCACTCCCTGCTGCAGTGTCACCAGTAGCCACTCTGGTGGGCCTCCTGCCATCCGCTTTCAGGGTCATTGGCTCCCCCAGACTCTGGGGAAGTCTAGGTCTAAGAAGCTCCTTTCCCTGGAGGTGTTGACAGCTTTGTCTTGGGGAGCCCTCCGGTGGGGAAGCCTAATGACAGTGCTCAGCCCATCCCTAAAACGGCACTCTCAGGAGGCTGTGTTTGAGGCATTACTGGAGAAAGGGAAAAGACCTCTGGGTGGGGCCCTCCTGGCTGGGGCCCCAGGCGGGTGGGCCCTGCCTGCGTGCAGCCCTGGATGCAGACAGATGCCCCCTTTGTTCCTCTCGGCCCCCTGCCTGCTCCGCTCTGCCTGCTGCTGCTCTCCTGGCTTCATCCCTACAGCTCGCGTCCAAAAAGGGCACCTTACAGAGCTGGCTGCCTCCTTGGCTCTCACTTTATTTTTTAAAAAGTCAGCTAGTTCACACAGTGCCCTGCATCCTTTTGTTCTCTTAAAGGGTCCTTGCTCTTCGTAAAGGACCAATGTTTTGACTCCCTGCTTCTCCTCATCCCTTTTCCTGCCCCTGTACACCTCCAACCCCACCTCTGTTTCTCAGGCTTCAAAATCAAAGCCCTGATTGCTTTCCTTGGAAATCAGAGATTGAAAACTGTCTCTCTTTCCCCTTCTTCAGGGCAAGATCTTCAGCTGGAAGGGGGTGCCTTGGGGTCCTGGGGGAGTGCCCCCCTGCCCTCCTCTAGGGCCAGGGGACCAGCATCTTCAGGCAGGAAATACTCAGACCACTGTGAGGCCCGGGCCTCGAGACCTGGAAAGAGCCGCATCCCTGGCCGTGACCACCGGCGCTACTACCATGACCACTGGCGGCTGGAGTACCTGATGGACTTCAACCCTGCGAGGCATGGCATGGTGTGCATGGTGTGCGGCAGCTCCCTGGCCACCCTCAAGCTCAGCACCATCAAGCGGCACATCCGCCAAAAGCACCCCTACTCCCTGCATTGGAGTCCCCGGGAGAAAGAAGTCATCAGCAACAGCTGGGATGCCCACCTGGGGCTGGGGGCCTGTGGAGAGGCTGAGGGCCTGGGGGTCCAGGGGGCTGAGGAGGAGGAGGAGGAAGAGGAAGAAGAGGAGGAGGAGGGGGCCAGCCTCCCAGCTTGCCCGCCCAAGGGCCCAGGTAATGCAGGTCATGGAGAGGCAGGGGCCCAGGTGGCCAGTGGGGCCCCATGGGGACAGCTTCTGTGCCATCTAGCTGGTCTTCTGGAGCAGGTTACTGCTCCTTCTCTGGGTGGGGTCTGTTCATTGCCCTTATTGTACAATAGTGAGGGAGGACAGTGGGGTGAGGGACCTCCAGTGTCCGTAGCAGCATTGACATTCTGTGGTCTGTGAAGGATCAAGGAGAGTGGAGGTTGGGGGACAGGCCGGGAAAGGGCCAGGAGTGGGGAGGCCAGGCCGGGTCGGTGAAGGCCCGGGAGGGGGCTGGAAAGGTGCAGCTGATGAGTCCGGGGCAGGGGTCAGATTCTGGTTCTGGGGGAGGAGTGGATGGGGTTAGTGTGTGCCCGGGGATTTAGGGAGCTGCAGGCAAAGAATGAGGGCAGAGTAAGAGTAAGGGCAGAGGTTAGGCCTGGGGCCTCAGAGTCTGAGAACCAAGTGAGGGAGAGGCTTATGGTGGACCTGGCCGTGGTGGGGGGTCCCTGAGAGGGCCGGTGTCTCAGTTCCTTCCCTCCAACCCTTTCAGGCAAAGCCCCAGCTGGTGGGGGCTGCCGGCGCCAGCGGCGAGGGGGCCCAGTGGCACCCCGGGCTCGGCGTCTGCGCCTCTCAGCTTCCCGGAGGGCCGGGGGCAGCAGGGGGCTGGGGGCCCGGCGCCTGGAGAGGAGGCTGAAGGAGTCCCTGCAGAACTGGTTCCGGGCAGAGTGTCTCATGGACTATGACCCGCGGGGGAACCGGCTGGTGTGCATGGCCTGTGGCCGGGCACTGCCCAGCCTGCACCTGGACGACATCCGTGCCCACGTGCTGGAGGTGCACCCCAGCTCTCTGGGGCTCAGCGGCCCCCAGCGCAGTGCCCTGCTGCAGGCCTGGGGTGGCCAGCCTGCGGCACTGTCTGAGCTCACCCAGTCCCCAGCAGGTGCGAGGCCCATCCCAGTCTGAGACCCTCATGTTAGGGCTGCACAGTGGGGTCTGTGGCCAAAATGGGGAGGCAGGAACCTCTAGCTGAGGGCTGAAGGCCAGGAACTCACCCCCATCCCTGCTACACACACACATACGCACGCACGCACGCACGCACGCACGGGCCTCTAGCTTGGTGCTGGGGTGAGGAGCAAGGATGGACCCCTCTGCGTGGGTAAGGGCAGCCCAGCCAGCGGGCTGAGCCCTTCTTCCTCACCCCTTCCCCAACAGACGACGACCTCGTCCCCCAGGACCTGACCAGAAAGAGCCGGGACTCGGCCCCCGCTGCTGGAGCCCCCTCCTCTCAGGATCTCAGCCCCCCAGACGTAAAGGAAGAGGCTGGCTGGGTCCCTGAGAGGCCCGGGCCGGCAGAGGAGGAGGAGCTGGAGGAGGGCGAGGGCGAGAGGGTGGGGGTCCCGGGCGGGTCGCCACGGGGCCGAGACCACCGCCGCCACTACCAGGAGCGTTGGCGGCTGGAGTACCTCATGGAGCTGGACGGCGGCCGGCGCGGCCTGGTGTGCATGGTGTGCGGGGGCGCGCTGGCCTCGCTCAAGATGAGCACCATCAAGCGGCACATCCGCCGGCGCCACCCGGGCTCCACCCGCCTCAGCGGGCCGGTCAAGGCCCGCATCGCCCAGGAGTGGAGCGAGAAGGCCGCCCACCTGCTGGCCCTGGGGCTGCCCTGCCCCGCTTCCCCCCGGGGCCCTGCCGCCCCCGGCACAGCTGCGGCCTCCGAGGAGGGGGGAGGGGACGAGGAGGAGCCAGAGGAGGAGTGGTGGGGTGAGCTGGTGCGGCCAGAGCAGGTGGAGAGGGAGAGCGGGCAGGGCTCCCAGCCAGGCAGCGAGAGAGGGTTGGGCGCTGCCAGCGTCGAAGGGAGACTGGGGGTACGGGCCGGAGGGCAGAGGTGGGGGGTCATGGAGGTGGGACGCGGGTCCCGGCCTGCTTCCCCCAACCAGCTCCAGCGCCGCCCTTTGTCCCCTCCAGGCGACGTCCCGCTCTCCCCTGGGGCTCCGTTGGAGCCGGCCGCCGAGGAAGAGGAGGACGACGACGACAGTCAGGAGGCCGGGGGACTCGTGTTGCCGCTGCCGCCGCCGCCGCCTCCCCCGCCGCCGCCGCCCCGCAGCCGGGAGCAGCGACGGAACTACCAGCCGCGCTGGCGGGGCGAGTACCTGATGGACTACGACGGCAGCCGGCGCGGCCTGGTGTGCATGGTGTGCGGGGGCGCGCTGGCCACGCTCAAGGTGAGCACCATCAAGCGGCACATCCTGCAGGTGCACCCCTTCTCCATGGACTTCACGCCCGAGGAGCGCCAGACCATCCTGGAGGCCTACGAGGAGGCGGCGCTGCGCTGCTACGGCCACGAGGGCTTCGGGCCGCCCGCCCCGGCCCCGCGCGACGGCGGCGCGGACTTAAAGCCGGGCGCCGTGTGCCGGGCGTAGCGGGCGGCGGCGGCCTGGCCCGCCGAGGGAGCCCTCGCGCCGGTGCGGGCGCTTCCCGCGGCCCCGCCCTGCCGCGCCCCCCGCTGGCCGGGCCGCGCGGAGGCCGGGCGCTCCTGCTCCGCGCCGCCGAGTCCCCTGGTGGGCGCTTGTCGCCGGGGCGCCGCGGGGAGCGCGCTGGCCCCCGGGCGCCAAGCCCCGGCCCTCCGCACCCAGGGCCCCACGTTTCCCGAGAAGCCAAAGCGGCCTCCACGCGGTAGCACCGAGCGCTCCTCGCCGGGCGGGCGCGGGAGCCGCCAGTCAGTATTAAGGCCGCAGGAGGGGCCTGGGGAGGGCGGGACGGACACGCCGGCCCTCGCCCTGGCCGGGGCCCGCTCCTCTGCAGCCTTGCACGCCCGCGGGCTCGGCTTCCGGCTCGGGCTGCTGGCTGGCCGCCCTGCCTGGTTGGGGCTCGCGGCCTTCCGGAGGCCCCGGCCGCGGGCGGGCCGGCAGCGGGGCGGGCGGGGTAGCGCGCCCGGCCGGGCTCCTGGCCCGCGGCCCCGCCGCCCCCCGGACGGAGATCGCAGAAAGGGATTTGCACTTTTTTCCTCCGCTCCTCCTGCCCTGAGGGCCTCCGCTCACCCCACGCTCAGATCGGGCGCTCCGGTCCAGCGCCAGGTCCGTCCGAGCCCGGGGCACTGGCGGTCCCGGCCGGGGCGCTCTGTTCCCGCCCCTCCCCGTCCCCCGTTGTCCGTGGGGGACGCGCCACCCGTTCTCAGTCCCCAGGGCCCGGGGCCGGGCCTCGGCCTCCCTTGCTCTTCCCCGCGGCAACGCCAGGCCCTGTGAGGCGGGGAAGGGGCCCGCGATCTCCCAGGCAGGTCCGAGAGGGATGTGTAGATTCATTCTCCTGTGGAGAACAGCTGGCCCTGAGATCAGGCCCTTTTTTGCTCTTTGTATTTTATTTGGAAACTGTATTTAATGCTTTTATATGAAAGGGGGCGGGGCGGGAAGAGCTGACCCTATCACCCTATGTGCAAATGTCTTATTTATTATGCGTGTGTCAGAGATAAGCTGTGAGGTGGTGGAGGAGGGACCTGAAGGAAGGAGCCAGGGCAGAGGCGGGGCGAAGCACCTCAACAGGCAGTGCTAGTGTGACTCGCAGCCCTGCCTCTCTGGGAACCGGTATCTTCACAAAGCAAGGCCACCGCAGACACAGTTCCCTCCGTCCTAAAATCAGGGTGGGGAGGTCAGCGGGTAGAACTTGTTGGGTCTGGAGGGGAGAGACTCTGGCAGCTGGGGCCAGCGGCTGCCTCAGTAGGTGGGAAAGCACAGGGCAAAGCGGAAGCCCCGCTTCTCACCCCTGCTCCACAGGCCAGAGCCCAAGGTTCAAGTGCCTCAGGCCCAGTCCCCTTGACTCTTCCTGTTTGGGAGTTGGATTTTATACTACGGATTTTATAGCATTTTTATATAATTCAAGATTGTCAGAGTTGGAAGGGACCCTGGAGATCACTAGTACCACCCCCATCCCCATAGGTAAAATGAAGCCCAGAAACTGAAATTATCACACAGCCAGGTGGGAACAGAACGAGAACTAGAATACAAATGCCAACTCCCAATTCAGTGTTCTTTGCACTACACCACCTCCCAATCTCTGGTAAGTTATTAAAACTTCTTTCCCTGATAAGTGTGCCAAGGGTCGACATGTGCTGGGCAGTGCAGGCCACCCCGGTGCAGGTGTACTTCCTGGGGGTGGCAAAGAACTGCCACTTGCTTGGGATGAGTATGCTGAGCTGTGCAGGGCAGCTCTTGGTGTAGGCCTGGGCTGCAAGGTGCAGGCAAGAGCCTTCCCCTCCCCAGTGAGAACTCCAGAAGTGGGGCTAACTATGCTTGGCCCAAGGCCTCCCCACAGGGCACTGTTGGCTTTGTGTTTTTGTTGTTGAGGCCACTAGGGATTCAGGAAGAGCCTGAATGGGTTGTCAGTTGATGGAAAAGTGAACGCCAGTGAGTTTGGACCTCCAGAAGTTCTGAGACAGTATTAAAAGCTTGAAAACAGGGATTTTGGGTGGCACCAGGCTGGGTACTGCCATTCTTTTACTTTCCTTCACGCATATTGTTTTCAGATCCAGAATGAGTATTCTTTTTCTACTCTGCCCGCTCAAAAACAGTAGGCAAATTGGGGCGGCCAATTTTAATCACCCAAGCCCATTGCCGAAGTTCAGGTAAGGCAGGGCAGAGAGCAGGTTAGGAATGGTTTTTCCCCATCTGTAGGCAGGGAGAGGCCTTAGGAGGACAGAGTGGATGTCTTCACTGAGACAGCCAAGCACATCAGTGGTCCTCAAAGTGTGGCCCCCAGACCAGCAGCAGCACCTTAGGAATGTGCTAGAAATGTAGTGGCCCCACCAGACATCAGAAACTTGGGTGGGACTGAGCCATCCGGCCTGATAAATGCGCCAGCGCATCAGTCCCCTGATGCAGCTGAAGTTCTGAGCACCAGTGATCCAAGATGTGCTGCTGTAGTGTCTCTTACTTTGAAGCTATGGCCTCACTGGTTAGAAGTCGGGGGTTAGTTGGGGTCCTCATCCCTAGGTATGCCTCCTTGCCTTGGGATTCTGACGTGAACAGGTGAAGTTTCTTCATGATTTTTTTTGTTGTTAATGGTATGCTTGCTATTAAGGCCAATATGTAAATGTTACTCTGAATACATATTTATATACCATGTTACTTAGCGACATTATTCAAACATTTGTATGCATATTTGTGAAATTTGCATCAGTCATTTAAAGAATATTTCAGCCTAAGAGGTATGCTGAATAAAATTTTAAAAGCCAGCTTAAGGGTCACAGCAGCCTTAGTTTAGGGGAAGAGCTAATCAGAGATGACTGAGTTCTTTCAGCAAAGACTTGATGTATTTGGTTCCCATTTTCCATGGTGACTGACTCCCAATTTAAATGCATCGTGGCTGTGTGTGATTTATAGGCTGCTTCATATTGCAGGCAGGGGACATTCCCAGGCTGGTGTAAACCGGGACAACAGGCTCCTCTGGCCCCTTCCACTCCTAATCTTTCTTCCTAAGGTCACCTCTTAGAGGTCTTATTTTCTTTCAGAAATCAAATGAACAGCTGTGCTCTACTATAGAAATTCTACAATCTTGTGAATCCATACCAGTATCAACCATTAGTTGCTTTTTAAAGCCCCCAAAGTGAAGTGAGGATGGGGGGAGTGGAAGCCTTGTTTGGATTTTACTTTACCCAAACTGTGTATAAAGAATAAAGTTAGCAGAATGACACCACAGTTGTCGTGTTTTTTTTTTTTTATTAATACCACATTGACTTGCAGTTTTACAGGAACCAAGATTCAAGCTCCTTAGGTGCTACTGTATTTTATATTGCACGCACAGACACGCACACAGTTTCATTAGTAATTGTTTCATCTATAGGTTATTCTTAAAAACAACAACAACAACAAAAAAAACTGCCTGCCTGCGTGGCACAAAGATCTCTTCAATTATTTAAACACAGCAGCAACAAAAGAAAAGAGCTAGACACGGAGGCTTCCAGTGCAGAAAGAGATCCTTTGGAGGGGAAGCCCAAAAAGACGATCAGTGCATTGACTTCCTGGGAGAGCGAAGGATGACACTGGAGAATGCATTTCCTACTACATTAAATCAGTTAAAAAATATTCAAAAGGAAAGAGGGCTAAGAAAATAAAGTAGAGTAAGGCAAAGGTACCTTTTACCCATCCAAATGCCTAAGAAATTAAAAAAAAAAAAAAAAAGTGGAAAGCTTTTTTTTCCACTACTTTCTACAGCTGCAGTACTTTGGGCCCTTAATTTCACCAGTGCATGTCCCTCTGGATGATCATGACCGAGTTACACCTGAATGAGCTCACAAATGACTTTTTTTTCAAGTTTGCCACATTTTCATGTTGAAGGGGAGGAAGAAACTTAACCTCAAATGGGAATCAAAGCTTTCCAATTGCCCTCCACCTGATGTCAGTGTGAGCTGTTCTCTTGCCTTTTAATTGTACGCAAAGCCCATCACAATCTGGCCCTGCCTGGTCACCCTCACATAAAACTTCTTGGAAAACACTCTCCAAAGGAGCACCCTGGACCATGCCAGAGGTGCTTGTAGGACTTTTTATGGGACTGAAAATGAAAGAAGCTCCAAAACAACACACACCCATAAGCTAGCCTCAAAGCAGTTAAAATCTGAAAGAACCACAAAATACACTTCCTTACACTAATTTGTGGTCTTTTAACCACAGACACACACAATCTCTCAAGCCAGCCTGGCTTTGGTCCTTAGGCTAAAATGATGAACACAGGCTAAAGATGCAGAATGTGAAAAAGGAAGCTGTAGGGAAAAGATCAAGATAAAGGCTTTTTATGTTTCTGTACTTCACCTCTTGAAAAAGCCTCCCCCAGACTGAGATAGGATTACAATAACTCAATAACTGAGGAGCCCACATGCAGATTATTTTTTCTCTAACAAGTTTACAGCAGTGTACAGCAGTTACAGACATTTATTTCATAATAAGAAAAGTACAACCATGTTTATTAAACTTGAGGTGAGGAGGACAGAGGAGAGGGAGGAAAGCACATCCAGGAGTGAGTCCTCAAACTAATCCTCAGAACTGGTGCCCAAGAGAGCACAGAAACCACTTTCCTAAATGGTGGAACTTTCCTTCCCTGGGCGGAGTAGGGGCTACCGCAGTGCTCCTGGAACTCCCTCTCCAACCCCACTTTCTGTTTCAATTCTTTTGTAATCGGATGGCATTCTGGGAATCAGAAATTACCACTGTCACCTCTAAGTTATTCACAGAGTTGAAAGTTATATCATTAAGTGAAGAAGAGGAATATTAGGAGTAGCTGCTCACATTGTGGGGCAGGAAGATGGGATCCAAGGGCTGCAAAAAACTCAAGGAAGGAATCACACTCCTGTCCCCAAATAATTTCTTCATAAGTTAATCATTATTTTTTAACTTAAAAACAAGGGCAAAACTACAATGGGAAACTGAGTAAGACTAGTCCTGAAAGTTCGATAGAAGGACCTAAGAGATGGTGTTCTATCTTTTATTTTCTCTTTTATCTCCAATCTTTTTCCCTTTTCAAGCTACAGGTAAAAGCTCCACCACCATTAAGGTATTGACTTATCCTATGAATTTGATTCTTTCTTTATTATTTTGGGTTCTAAGTTCTTTTTTTTAAGTCCAACAATTCTTGTGCTTGATACTGAGGGTTAAGGGAAAGGAGGGGAGAAAACACCAAATTAAAAAAAAAAAAAGCTTGGAATGCAGGCTCAAGCTGACACTGAGCATGTTCCTTCATAGTACAAGTAACAACATTATAACTATTAAATGGTGTTTTAGTAACTGTTGCATTTCTGGTTTCCAGATGCTTATTCTGCCTTTTTTTTGGCGATTCCAGGGAGTTTTGCTTGGATCCTATTGAGGAAAGGAAAAAAAAAAAAAGAATATGAAAACATAAGCATTTGCTCAAGGTTTTTATTTTAACAGTGATTCTATTTAATAGAAGACACTGCATAAGCAACATGAAAACATTCTCCCATTTTCACAGGGATGGATAAAAAGAAACAGGGGCCAAATCTAGCCTGGGATGAGCCTGCAGGATCCCCAAAGACCCCCACCCCACCCCCATGCCTGCCATCTTTCACTGCAAGAACCTCCTGTGTCCTTCACTGGGGGTTCCAGAGAAGAATGAGGGTATCTGGGCATGATGCTTGCTGACTATGCTCTACGAACCTGTAGTGCAAGAGCCCATTTCTCTGGCTCTAAGAGCTACAGATTAAGGAATGCCAGGTCACCCACTAGGTGTCACAAAAGGGCCAGAAGTGTCAAGGAAACATGTTAAAAGGACATGAGTCATCAGTTCCTGGTTCTCATGACCACAGAAGCTAGCAACAGTTTCTAGTCCTTTACAGGACATTAAAGTTGCTCTTTATTGTGGCAAAGTTGTTCTGAAATCATTAAGGCTACCCATCATTATGGTCATTCATTCCCCTAAGTGACTGTCAAGGCTACCCTCCATAGTGTCACATCCCACAACAGGTGACCACATCAGCTAACACTGGCAATCAAGACATCAAGTCTGAAGCTGAGCTACGACCATCTTTCACCAATCAGGAGTAAACAACAACCATATACATATTTCTGCTAGCTGTCCACCTGGTTTTAGCATTAATGTATATCTAAAAAAGAAAAAAAAAAAAAAGCAGGCTGAAGACCCTGGCATCAAGTCAGACCTGTCAGAATACTTATAGTCATAGTTTCCTCTTATTTTTATTTTATTTATTTATTTTTCTGTAGAGAAGGGATCTTCCTATGTTGCCCAGGCTGGTCTCAAACTCCTGGCCTCAAGTAATTCTCCCACCTCAGCCTCCCAAGTGCTGGGATTATAAGCCTGAGCCACTGCAGCTGGCCTTAAACAAGGTTTTTATCAGGGTGAAAATTACTTTCTTTCGCATCAGTATTCTACGCAGGGGATTAAAGATAACTGGGGAAAAAAAGCACATGTCATGATGAAATGTGGTCCCTAAATGTACTTACTTTTCAACAATTGACTTGGTCTGATCCCGGGCAATGCCAACATAGTGATCAATCTGGGTCTTTAATGAAGGAAAGTAAACTCAGTTGTGACAATACAAAGATTAACAATTTTCCTGAAGGTATTGTTCCTTTGTCTAGTTTAACCATTTTTATAAAAAAAATTATTGACCAGTCTAGAAAATGAAAATAATGCCCAGTTTTTTAAAAAGTATTTTAAAAAAACTTCTGGTTTTACCTCAAATTATGTTATAAATGTCCCACACTTTGTTAAAGAGCAAATCATGCATCTTTTGCAGAAGTTAGTCTTACTTGGTATTTCTTTTAGAGAAACTGAAGTATAGTGTTTCCTCAATACTAGAAACAGTGTCTAATCTGTATTCTGTAGTCATAAATGTATTATGGCCCCTAGGTCAGACTAAATTCATTCAATACCAAAAATCCAAAAAGCCTGTTGATGGACGACAATCCATAAAGAATAACCTCACAGCACTCAGTGTACTTGGTACGCATCACCCCATAGTGCAAACATCTGTTCAAACCAATGGATTTCCTTAATAACCAATTTAAGTATTTTTTTAGACAGCTTTTATTCATTTAAGCATTTTTCCAACTTATTATTATTATTTTTTGAAACAGTCTTGCTCTGTTGCCCAGGCTAGAGTGCTGTGGCATCAGCCCAGCTCACCTCAAACTCAAACTCCTGGACTCAAGCAATCTTCCTGCCTCAACCTCCTAAGTAGCTGGGACTACAGGCATGTGCCATCATGCCCGGCTAATTTTTTCTATAGAGATTTTTAGCTGTCTGACTAATTTCTATTTTTTTTAAGTAGAGATGGGGTCTTGTTCTTTCTCAGGCTGGTCTCAAACTCCAGACCTCGAGCGATCCTCCCACCTTGGCCTCCCAGAGTGCTAGGATTGCAGGTGCGAGCTGCTGCGCCCGGTCTCCAACTTATTATTTTTTTGAATAGATACTGCATCCACGTGGACACAAACTTAAAAGACACACAAGGTGTGAAAAAAGTAAGCCTCTTTGGACTCATCTCCGTTCTGAATTCTAGTTTCTCTCCTTAGAGGAAATCATTGTTACCAGCTTCTTACAGGCACCTGACTTACAAAATTTGATTGGTTATTAAAAGACTACTCTGAACTTTCAAAGTTTCAAAAACGAATTAAATACTGGCTGCGAGGTTTTATATGTAAAAAAAAAAAATAAAAAAACAAAAACGAATTAAAATTAGGCATATATCAACTGGTACATTTGATTCAGAACAGACAAATGCTTACCTTGTACTTCTCATAAACAATTGGGACACTGAAAATGAGCAGTTCCGCTGTAAGACAGAATCGTGTGACATGAAAATGTGGGAATGTAAATGTGAGATGGCACAAAGTCTCAAGACACAAAGTAATTCCTACATTTTTCCTCATGAAATATATGGAAAACAGATCTTCCTCAAGATGAGAAATCCTGGCTAGAGCTCCCAATTAAGGACAGTTAGATTAAGAGAGCTAATTTAGGGTTGTGTAGAAAACAAACAAACAAACAAACAAATCCTCTCCATGTATATAGGCTATCTTCTTTGTACCATAAATAGCAATTTCCAAATTAATAAAAAATAGGTTCTATAACTAAGATCCCCATATTTAAACCAAACCTAGACAACTCTCCTTTACTTACAGCTGTTTTGATATTTCTTTATAACAGGAACCATTAATAAACCTGTGACCACAAACACAGGTTCCTCTAGTATCCACTTCAGAGTCTCAATGGACATTAAAGGTTGGATCTTGCAGAATGAGTGGGACTATGCTGGGCATACTCTTCACTCTTATTCTTGCAAATAACTTCAAAGAGCAGAGACATTTTCCCTGTCATCTTACCAAGAATCAGAAGGGTGATTCCATTAAAAACGGCACCAACATAGGTCATGAGCCACATGAAGACAGCCAGCTGTGGAGGCCAACATCAGAAGGTGAAGCAGAAATAACCGTAAGGCAAAAGTCAGGATAATTGACGCTGTTCTTTACAGCTAATTAAGTCTGTATAAATTTAGTGATGTCTGGCATAGATAATTTCAAAATGAAGGTTTCCTCACTTGTGCTACACATTTCAGAGCATGTCAGAGAATTCTGTAGCTCTTTTACATCTAAAGACAGACTGTCTGCACACTGCCGCCAATTATATTACCACTGATCGATGTTGGTTCTCTAGTAGGGGGTAACACCTTGTTGAGGTAGAGTCTTGCTCTGTCAAGTGCAGTGGTGTGATTATAGCTCACTGCAACCTCCAACTCTTGGGCTCAAGTGATCCTCCTGCCTCAGCCTGCCGAGTAGCTGGGACTATAGAGGCACTACCATGCCCAGCTAATTTTTCTATTTTTAGTAGACACAGGGTTTTGCTCTTGCTCAGGCTGGTCTTGAACTCCTGGGCTCATGATCCTCCTGCCTCAGCCTCCCAGAGTGCTAGGATTACAGGTATGAGCCATCATGCCCAACCCCATTTTTATAGATTGACTGGGACAAACATATGTTCATTTTGTCCGATAAAAACCTATATACTGTTTTTTCTTAGCCTCACCACCAGAAGCTATAGATGCTACTAACCTTCAAGGAGTCAACCAGATCTTCCACCAGAAAAAGACGAATAATGAGTTTCAGGGCCCTGTTGATGTGCACCATGGCAGCGTTCACATAATTATGGAAAGCTTCCGAGGACAGAGTAATGTCTACATCCAGGTAGGCTCTTCCAGAAGAAACAACAGTCACATATTTGACATGGAAGGAAAAGATTTTCTGTTAGCACAGCAGTTCTTTGGAGTGTGACACTGGCCCCCAGGGTGCATTTTAGAAATCTGTATGAGCAATTTTTATTGTCACAGGGTGGGGGGGACACCACTGTCACATCGTAGGCAGAGGCAAAGATGCCAGATGTCTACAAAGTGTGGGACAGTCATGAACAATAAAGAATTATCCTGTGTTCTACATAACTTTTACTGCCTCATTGGATATTCATGAAGGTAAACCTATTTATAATTAAGAGCCCAGAACATACACAAACAAGGTATTTTTCCATAGTTCTAACATATCCTGAATTTTCTAGAACTATATTTTGTTTATGCTAAAACTTTGATTTTTTTTTTTTAACCGTTTTAGAGAACCATATCTGTACTGGTGATTATACAGGTAGTGTAAGTATCTGACTACTTCATTATGTTTTTTGGTGTAGTAAGGTCCAAGTAATTAAATAGTGACTGAAATACATGTTACTTTTTTTTTAAGACAGAGTCTCCCTTTGTTGCCCAGGCTAGAGTGAGTGTCATGGCGTCAGCCTAGCTCACAGCAACCTCAAACTCATGGGCTCAAGCAATCCTACTGCCTCAGTTTCCCGAGTAGCTGGGACTACAGGCATGTGCCACAATGCCCGGCTAATTTTTTCTATATATATTAGTTGGCCAATTAATTTCTTTCTATTTAGAGTAGAGACGGGGTCTTGCTCTTGCTCAGCCTGGTTTTGAACTTCTGACCTGGAGCAATCCACCTCCCTCGGCCTCCCAGAATTGCTAGGATTATAGGCGTGAGCCACCGCACTTGGCCTGAAATACAGGTTACTTTATTATAAATGGCTTTCTATTTTCTCATACCTTTTTTTTTTTTGGAGACAGTCGTCACTTCTCTTGCCTCGCCTAGAGTGCGTGGCATCAGAGCTCACAGCAACTCATAAACTCCTGGGTCAGCAATCTCCATGCCTCAGTTGCTAGGGGTAGCTGGACTATAGGCAATACCACGATGCCTGGGTTATCTTTTCCACCACTCTCTCTAAAGTGTTTGGCTAATTTTTATTTTTTAGTAGAACAGGTCTCACTCTTAGCCAGGCTGGTCCTTGAACTGGTGAGCTCAAGCAATACTCCTGGCCTTGGCTCCCAGCGAGTGCATGGCATTGACAGGATGGCCAACACACACCGACCTATCATACCTTTTATATTACAATTATGATCTTATTTTTTATATTTTTAGTGACTAGGGCGTCATATGTTGCCCAGCTGAGTGATAAATGGTATAATTTCACAGTGGATTACAGTTCACTGCAGCCTCAAGCCCTAATCTCAAGTGATCTTCCTGCTCAGACTCCCTGAGTAGCTGGTATTATAGGCATGTGCCCATGGCCGCTCTATGACTATCTTCCAGTACGGTGCAACGATTGATCAGGAAGTAAGCCAAATTTTGCTCTAAGGCTATGGTTGTGGAAAACAGAAGAGTAACAAACATTATCTTTCTTTCCTTACTTAAGACACATACTTTATATCAATATAAAAATTACGATCGTATAAAGGCTGCCCGTCAGCTCACGCTGTACCTACTAGCACTCTGGGAGCGAGCAAAAAACAAACCCCCCCCCAGCCCGTCCCTGCTAATTTCGCAGAGGATCAGAACCAGCATGGAGACGTTTAAGTAGGTGGGCAAGTTAACCCCTTGCTGCGGATTGGTCAGAGTTCAAATGACCTGTCCGGGCAAGAAGCGAGACCCCGTCTCTAACTTATTATATAATAGAAGAAAATTTATTAGGGTTTCATACTACTTAACAAACAAATGTAGATACTATTTAAAGTTCGGTATAGAAGAAACTGTATTCCCGTGGTACTTATCATCTTGCTGTAGGTGAGCGCAGATGCCTGCTCGATGAGTCCCAGCTCTAGGGATCGTTGCTGAGTAGGCACCGCAATGTCCAGGACGCTTGAGCCCAGAGTTTGAGGTTGGCTGGGCGGCTAGGCTGATGCCACGGCACTCAGCTATAGCTTGGGCAACAAAGTGAGACTCTGTGTCGTCTCCAAAAAAAAAAAAAAAAATAAATTAAAAAATCAGAGTTCAACTTTGTAAAACATATTTTAGAAATCCACAACAGTGTCATACAAAAGAGGGGAAAACTCGTTTCAGTCACATCTGAGCTGGTGCAAAACAGAACAATTTTCACTAGTTCATTCAACAACTATGAGTTTGTTAAAAAATTTGCAGTAAAATTTATTTTATTTTTTGAGACAGAGTCTCACTCTGTTGCCTAGGCTAGAGTGCCATGGCATCAGCCTACTCATAGCAACCTCAAACTCCCTGGGCTCAAGCATCCTTCTGCCTCAGCCTCCCGAGTAGCTGGACTACCAGGCATCACCACCATGCCCTGGATAAATATTCTACATATTTTTGGCCAATAAATTTCTTTCTATTTTTAGTAGAGACGGGGTCTCGCTCTTGCTCAGGCTGGTTTCTAATTCCTGATCTTGAGTGATCTGCCCACCTCAGCCTCCCAGAGTGCTAGGATTACAGGCGTGATGCAGTAAAATTTTTTAAATGCCACATATAATTTAAGTCATTCCTTCTACTTTCACCAAGAAAACATGCAAGGAGCAGAGCTGCAGCCAGAAACTTGTGCTGTTATTGTCCTGAGAGGTCACACTGGAGTCTCTTTCTCTATGAGAAAAGAGCTTTCAAAAACTATTATTTGCTAATGTTAAAGTAAAAACAATTTATGGGCTAAGAATTTCAGAGAAAATGTGAAGAAAATATTAGTATTCGTTAAAGTTGCAGCAAAATCAGAAAAGCTAGAAATTGGATCCTAAAAATATATGACCCACTGACTTGCCTGTGGTATTAAGAAGGAAATCAGTAATAAAACCAAGAGTAAATACACGAAGTTCTGACAGTACCAAGAGCACAACTTCAATACCACGCTTTCAAAGTCATTTCAAGACTGAATTATAGGCTGGGCGAGGTGGCTCACACCTGTAATCCTAGCACTCTGGGAGGCTGAGGTGGGAGGATTGCTTGAGTTCAGGAGTTCAAGACCAGCCTGAGCAAGAGTGAGACCCTGTCTCTACTAAAAATAGAAAAAATTAGGCGGCCACGTTGTTGTGTTCCTGCAGTCCCAGCTACTCAGGAGGCCGAGGCAGGAGGACTGCTTGAGTCCAGGAGTTGGAGGTGGCTGTGAGGTAGGCTGATGCCACGGCACTAACCCAGGGAACAGAGTGAGACTCTGTCTCAAAAAATTTAAAAAAAAATAAAAGATTGAACTACATATGGAGGTTTGAACATGTATTCGGGACCCCATCTAACCAAGTGCTGTTCTCTGCTTTCTCTACCCTGCTCAGGAATTTAGTGTCTTCTTTGGTCTTGAAATGTGAGCCTTTAGCTTGTCAAAAAGTTCTTGGCTTCGAACTTGGACACTTCCTAAGGTGATCTCAAGGTCTCTATCTGATGGTTCATGCCACCAACCAGCTGCTTTAGGTCTGATAATTCTTGATTTGTAGACCGGATCAGCCTCAGTGAACCTCTCCACTAAAATGTAGAATGTTGCTTGTGAAACTTCAACTCACTTGAATGGATGGCCTTCTTCTGACTTCTGTACAGCCTGGATGACAGATTTGTAGACCCTGAAGCTGATAGTGACCGAGAGAAGAGCCAGGATGAGGTAAGAAACCACACTGATGACACTGAAAGCTGCCAGGGAAAGCAGCATGATCAGTGTGGTGCCAAAGACAAATCCAGTCTTCTTCACATCTCGCCAGAAAATCAGATCGTGCACTGTCAAAAGAAAAGGGAATATAAGGTATAAGAAAACCCACAAGCCACAATGTCAGGACTGCTCTCTGGCTATGTCTTGTAGACTTGTGGAGCATCATACTAGCACACAAATATAACTACTATAACACCCCATATTAAGAGAATCTTTTATTTTTTTTTTTTAAGAGATGGGATCTTGCAACATTGCCCAGGCTGGCCTCAAATTCCTCGGCTCAAGTAATCCTACCTCAGTCTCCTGAGTAGCTGGTACTACAGGTGCACTCCACCATGCTTAACTCTAAAAGCTCTAAGAGAAACTTATAAATGTAAATCAAATGGTCAGGGGTGATGATTCATGCTACAAAAAATTCCTCTGTTATATTGATTAGGTTTCAGGATAGGGCTATATAAATTTATGAGCTTATTTTGGCTACAGAAGTACACTTGGCTACAGTGTCATTTACTTTAAATGTTGTGGCAGAAAAAATGATAAAGCAAATATGGCAAAATCTTGCTAACTGTTGACAAAATTAAGCAAACCATGCCTAGAAACTAGTTGGGTCAACAGACTATAAAACCAAAGCTGACTTGAAATGCCCCCATTTGGGTGCTAACAGAACTAGCACCTTCTGTTAGTGCTAGTTACAATGAAACACCAGTCTCTATGTTAATCTGAAAGGAACTCAGGAGGGATTATGGATAGGAAACCATATTAATTGTCCAAATCACAATACTTTTAAAAGTTGAGTGGGGCACTATTAATAATTATGCCAGGAAACAAAACAGGTATAAACCAGGACCATCCTAGGTAACCGGGCCTTTGGTTGGGGACATCCACACTGGGAAAATCTAAATTCTTCTACTTAGAGACACCTCCAAAATTCCTAATGACAGCTGCTGGCAAGTACCTCCAATCTAGCAATGATACTACTTTTTGCATTTCACTCTGTGAAGACTGAAACACTAACAGCACCATTGGGACTATCCTCCTAGCCACTCTTTACTTACAAAGAACAAGAGCTTTGAAGTTGGAGAGACATGAGTTGGAGTCCTGGTAATAGCTAAACATATTACTTTAACCTTTCCAAGCCTCCATTTCCTCATCTGGAAAACAAAGAAAATGGCGTCCACTTCCTAGAGTTTTTTTTGGAATATAAAAAGCTAATACACGGAGAATGGTTAGCATTGTAAATGATACACAGTAAATACTCAAATTTTAACTATAATCCAAATAAGGTTAACCCAGAAGACTGTGGTTTGGGATAAAATGAACCTGAGTCTGACTCAAGTTGACCTGATGGCACTTAGTTCTTCCCTATATTCAGCTATAAAATTCTCTTCTGAAACCACTTCTCTGAAGCCTAACCTTATTAGAGCCAAAGGAACCTAACATGAAACCAAGAAAACACTAAAAATATGCTGATTGTATGGAAGAAATAATCACTAGTTCCGAGAGATTCCGGCTAAGGGATGTGACTTAGTAGGAGAAAGAGGAAGCGCTATGACTCCTGAGAGGAAGCTGGGAGTCCCAGACAGTGATGACGAGAGAAAGAGCTGGGAGGCAGTGCAGGCTCACCTGATTCAACTGAGATTGAATAGGAGAGCTGAACAGAATGCTGCCTACTTAAGAAGAGTGAATACCAAGCAGATTTCCTACAGTCAGAGTCCAAGTATATGCATGTCAGAGTTCCTACGGCTACAAGAACAGTTTCAACATAGAATGTTTGGACAGCCAACATCATCAGCAGTGGAACAAACTGATACCATATGCCCCTGGAGGTAATGCACTGAGGACACGACATCACTTCTGGGGCATTCCTGCTCAGATAATATAACCTGAATCTAATGACAAAACACCACACAAACCCAGACTGAGAAATATTCTACAAAAAAACAAACAGCCTGGGCCGGGCATGTTGGCTCACGCCTGTAATCCTAGTTCTCTGGGAGGCCTAGGCGGGTGGATTGCTCCAGGTCAGGAGTTCGAAACCAGCCTGAGCAAGAGCGAGACCCCATCTCTACTATAAATAGAAAGAAATTAATTGGCCAACTAATGTATATAGAAAAAATTAGCCAGGCATGGTGGCGCATGCCTGTAGTCCCAGCTACTCGGGAGGCTGCGGCAGGAGGATTGCTTGAGCCCAGGAGTTTGAGGTTGCTGTGAGATCTGACGCCACGGCACTCTAGCCTAGGCAACAAAGCGAGACTCTGTCCAAAAAAAAAAAACAAAAAAAAAGAAAGAAAGAAATTAATTGGCCAACTAATATATAGAGAAAAAATTAGCGGGCCATCGGGGTGGCGCATGCCTGTAGTCCCAGCTACTCGGGAGGCTGAGGCAGCAGGATTGCTTGAGCCCAGGAGTTTGAGGTTGCTGTGAGCCAGGCTGACGCCATGGCACTCACTCTAGCCTGGGCAACAAAGTGAGACTCTGTCTCAAAAAACAAAAAACCAGCCTGTACTCTTCACAAATATCAATGATGTGTAATAACATTTATCGGGTGTGGGCGGGTGGGGGGGGCATGGGCAATATACATAACCTTAACATGTGTATCCCCATAATATGCTGAAATAAAAAATAAATAACCCTCCCCCCCAAACACCAATGATGTGAAAGACAAAGAAAGGCTGAAGAACTTAATTCTCAGATTAAAGGAGAGTGAGGAGATATAACAATGCATAAAGGTGAATTGTGATCCTACACTGGACCCTAGATAAGGGGGTAAAATAGCTAGCTAGTTTTTTGTTAAAATTCCTTAACAATTTTTGTTGATTATATAAAACAAATCAACAAAAATGTTTTTGTTCAAAGGAAATACACTCCTAAGTAGACGTAAAGAGGCAGAATGTTCGCAACCAACTCTCAAATGGTTCAGGAAAACACATGTATCTACCTACACAGGGAGGGAGGGATAAAGCATATGTGGCCAAATATTAACAACTGCTGAACTACACTGAAGATTATACGAGAGTTTTTTTTTTTTTTGTATTATGCTTGCAATTCTTCTATGCATTCAAAATATTTGAAAAAGACAGAGAGAGAAAAAGAAAGAAAAGCTTAGCTAGGACCAGAGAGAAGAGGACTTTAATGCATCTAAAGAAGGAAAAAGGGATGATAAAGACAGGCACCTAAACAGCAATTAGAAATTCTACCTTTGTGCAGATTAGAAGTCACCCTGGCCTCGTGAACATTACTGCCATCTGCTGGAAAACTGTTGTAAGAAATATTTAAATCTACAATGATAGTACATGTGAATGCTGCCCCCTAGATGTGTGCGATCCAATCCAATCTGTACGACAGTATAGAAGGCCCTGGGCTCAGACTCAAAATAAATGGTAGAATTATGGTCTGGGCTAGAAGGGGGCTGGATACTGACTGAAAGGGGGACAACAGAGGGGCAGTTTGGAAAAGCTGGTTCAATACACCAAACCTCTGGAATGCTCTTCCCCCACAACTTGCCATGGCTTGCTCCTTTCCTTCATTCAGGTCTCGGTTCAGGGCTATCTCCTCAGGGACTGCTCACCTAATCTAATATCCTCTCCTGTCATCACCACTCTTCATCCCCTTATCTGGCTTTGTTTTTCTTCACAGCACTTACCACATTATTTGTAGAAGGCTCTTTGTATCTGCTATTGAAAGCTTGAACATGGGCCAAACTAATGAGCAAAACACAGCAAAACTACAAGTTCTATTTGTTTCCTGATAATCCCCCCTCACACTAGCCAAGTCTTTGCACATGACTCTATCGAGTACAGGAGACTAAGGATTCCAAATACAGGACACCACAGAAAGGAAACTGGCATGGTCTTTGGAAACTTTTCCCTCTCTGATCCCTTGGGAAAGAGTTAGGAGGATGGAAAAATATGAGGAAAAATTGAAAAATGAAGTAGCTGCCAAAAGTTTAAAATGTGAAGCCACTAGGCTTAAACTAGTTTTAGTACTCATTTCATAACCAGGACACCAACAGAGGGAGCAATGGTTTGCTTCCATGAAATTTTCTTTTTGTTCATTTTCTTCTACTTGCATTCATCTGTTCCTGCTACCTTGGTACAGTCATGCATTGCATAACCACATTTTGGTCAACAAAGACTCATATATGATGGTGGTCCCCTATGATTATATTTCCGTATTTTTACTGTACCTTTTTTTATGTTTAGATACACAAATACTTACTACTGTGTTACAACAGCCTACAGTATTGAGTTCAGCAACATGCTGTACAGGTTTGTAGCCTAGGAGCAATAGGCTGTACCACATAGCATAGATGTAGCATAGTAGGCTACATCATCTAGGTTTATGTAAGTACACTCGATGGTGTTCAATTCACACAACAAAATCAGCTAAGGGGACACATTTCTCAGAACGTACCCCCACTGTTAAGCGATGCATGACAGTATTTTTTAAACCAGGAAATTCCTTATTTTCAAGTGTGTTCTTTTTCCTTCCTTTCCCACCCTTCTCTTGCTGCATAAATTTTATTAAGTACCTGTCACGTGCCAGGGAAGTGCTAGACTGGGAATACAACACAACTGTGAATAAGGCAAACAGGATCCCTACTTACATTGTAGTGGGGAAGAAAGGCAATAAATAAGTCAATAAATAACAAAATAAGAGTCACTTGTAACACAGGCCCTTAAAAATGTAAACTCTTTGTGCTATGGTAAGAATGATTTGTGTGCATGTGTACACTACTTTAGATAGGTCAGGAGAAGCCTCTCTGAGAAGTTGATATGAAAGGTGAGGCATGAAGGATGAGAAGGGGTTGGCCACACAAAATAGCAAGGGAAAAGTACTCTAAGGCCGGGCGCTGTGGCTCACGCCTGTAATCCTAGCTCTTGGGAGGCCGAGGCGGGCGGATTGCTCAAGGTCAGGAGTTCAAAACCAGCCTGAGCAAGAGCGAGACCCCGTCTCTACTATAAATAGAAAGAAATTAATTGGCCAACTGATATATATATAAAAAAAAATTAGCCGGGCATGGTGGCGCATGCCTGTAGTCCCAGCTACCCGGGAGGCTGAGGCAGAA